TCAATTAGATTATTTGCCAGCCAGTTAAGATAAAACCGCTAATTACTCTCCGTTTGACAGCAATAAAAGAACCGACATAAATCAGGTGAAGGCTGAACAATTGCTAATTGGATCATGAAGAAGACCATCAAGAAAATTCCCTTTTCTTTGAAGGTGATCTTCTCGATCACTAAAAACCTTTTTGCTTTCAACAAAGAGAATTCAGTTGATTTTACTAGGAAGACTAAATCTCCTGTAAAGTCATTTTCGACTTCGCAGAGGAACTTCAATCAAGAAAATCGTAATTTAAAATTTAACACCATTGTGAAATGTGAATGGAATGAGGATTGAGCTGGAAAAGTAATTGATTGTTAAGACTCGACAAAATATAGCTTCCCAGTAAAATAAAAAAAGGAACCCTATTACTGAACTATCAGAAATTCCATCATCCATTCATAATATCTGCTGTTACGTAGTCATTTTAGAAATCTGCAAGCCGCTGACAGATGAAAACAATGTGCCTTGTTTTAAATGATAGCTGCAAAATGTCGCAGTCGTCCGACCCCAGCTACAATAATCACAAATGACGATCATGGGAGGGAGTCATCCAAACTACATGAAGGCCATAAAGGATAGGTTCAGGATCCCAAGGTGAAGCGTTTTTTGAACCTGTAGTCTTTTCACCCGGGAATTCGGTCAAAGTAGCCTCTTCCAGGCGTTAAGTTAGTTGGGAATAGGCGAGACCTCGCACCAGGCTCTGTCTCTGCACCCCAACTAACTGAATCCCTGGAAGAGGCTAAGTCAAAAATCCCGACTTGGCTCCTTGGGGTCTGAGGCAATCTATTTACAGGGTCATGTAAACATTGAGCTTTGCTGACCGCTTGAAGATGCTGGATTTTAGAGTTAAAGATAGTCTGTCTCGTCGCAAAATACAAGGCTTGTATCATCGAATTAAACTAAATCGCTTTCCATGCATGATCTTAACACGACTCCAAGAAAAATTGCATTGTTTTTTTAATTGTCAAGCAAGTTTACTGAGTAATGCGTCGGTTTTGAGAAGGGATTATTTTAGCGTGCGAGCAGGCTCACCGTTGAGTCACGCGCGCGAGCGGAGAGCAAAGTGATCCGGCGGGAAGGAGTCTGGTGAACGAGTCTCGTCTCGTGGCTTCGCCGTTCGATTTCGCCCGATTTGCTCCAACGTGAGCCCGTATTTAAGAAATAGAAAACACAAGTAGAAGTTTGGGAGAGCGAGAAATGCTGTGGGGACACGAGCCGTAGGCGAGTGTTTCCACAGCTCAGTTTCGAGTTCTCCCAAACTTTCATGAGTGTTTCTATAACTCGATAGAAACACGGAGAACATGTTTTCTATTTCTCTTAGAAAACACCGTGACGAAAAAAAGGAAAACAACTTTTTAACTTTCATAATCATAAAAATTACAATTTCCTCGATTGTGATTGGTTTAAAAAACTCCTATTTTCCACTAATTCACTTGCCAAGTTGTTATCAGAAAAATCAACCAATCACATTCAAAGTTGCAGTCACGCGCGTGCGTGCGCTTTTGTGTTTTTGGCGTTTAATTGCCGGTAGGAGGCGCGGTGGCCTTGGAATGTTTCTTCTCGTTTGTACGTATTTTAATGCAAATTTTCTCTTTCTTTCATAGCTTGGCTATTCTTCTTTTCTCGGAAATTGTAATTTTTTTGATTAATTGGTAATAAGACTTCGTGTCGTCCAATTCGGTCTGTAATCATATTCGTGATAAACAAATCGGACTCCCGCTGTGCGGTCGTCCGATTTTGTTATCACTATTATGATAACAGACGGAATTGGACTCCACTCAGTCCTATTACCATTACTTATCAAAGTGTAAATTCTCTTTGCTCGCGCCATCATTACGTCAACAGCTCGTGCTAGTTCTGTGTTTCTATCGGGTTTTAGTATAAATCTACTAACGTTCTATTACGAATACTGCTCTCTGATTGGCTGCGCTACTCACTATCTATTTTGTGATAGATAGTGAGTAGCGTAGCAGTGTGCGTTTGTTAACAAAATGACGACCGCTTCTTAGTATTTTCGAAGTGTCTGTGAATAGGATTTAGATACAGTTTGAACGACTAGTAGATTTATACTAAAACAATTAGATTATTCGCTCTCGATTTCTATGTGTGATAGTTGACTGGAGCTGTACCCTCGTCAACTACCACACGATAGAAATCTCGAGCTCATGATCTAATTGTTTAATAGAAACACGATTTTTAACCAATCAGCGCGCATATTTTCTTAGGACTGTTCTCTAAATCTTTTTAGTAGAATTCTACTAGTATACTAATGCAAATGCTGCAATCTGATTGGCTGAGCTATTCGTATACTATCAGCCATGAGAGGGCAGCGTCTGTCGGTCGTCCACGAAATGCAACGTTTTTCTCTTTTTTTCCGAAGTTTTGGAGGAAAGTTTAAATGTAAATGGATAATTAAATTTCTGAGAAGACTAAAACATACATACATACATACATACATACATAC